CTTGGCCTCCCAAAGTGTTGGAATCACAGGCATGAGTCACCGTGCCCAGCTTCAATTCTTATTTTTGGAGACAGGGTTTTGCTCTGTCACCCGGGCTGGAGTGCAGTGGTGCGATCTCAGTTCACTGCAACTTCTGCCTCCCGAGTTCATGCGATTCTCCCACCTCAGCCTCCTGAGTAGCTGGGACTACAGGTGCATGCCACTGCACCTGGCTAATTTTTTTTTTTGTAAAGACAGGGTTTCTCCATGTTGCCCAGGCTGATCTCAAACTCCTGAGCTCAGGCATTCCTCCAGCCCATGTCTCCCAAAGTGCTGGGATTACAGGCAGGAGCCACCGCTCCTGGCTATATCTTCTCCATTCGATTTCCCTCCTTTTTCACCCAAGCAATGCCAGCCCCCTTCACTCCCTTCCGAATCTGAAAATGCCCAGGGAGTTTTATCGTCTCCTAGGAAGCTCTCCCGCCTCTCCTCATCATCCCAGGCTGTGTTCTGGGCATCCCCAAGGGAAACATCTGAACTTCTCACTGGGCCAAGGAAGAAGGGACGAGGTGACTTTCAGAAGGCAGGCCTTGGAAATTCCCCATGTCTGTCTTGGCAACAGCAAGAATTTCTCTTTGTTTTCCTGCCTGTAGCCAAAAAGCGTAACATGAAAGGATTCAGGGTACATATGAGAACAGGTCATTGTACCTTCGACAAATGGGTCAAGTTCAAGCTTAATACCGTCCTGCATGCTCCGGGATGGAGATGGAGACAGTGCAGGTTGAAATGTCTTTGTCTTGTAAGGATCGGAGAGAGGGGGGCCATCGTGGTTTTTTTTTTTTTTTCCTTTTTTTTTTGGAGAGGGAGTCTCACTCTGTCTCCCAGGCTGGAGTGCAGTGGAGCGATCTTGGCTCACTGCAACCTCTGCTTCCTGGGTTCAAATGATTCCCCTGCCTCAGCCTCCTGGGTAGCTGGGATTACAGGTGCCTGCCACCACCAAACCCAGCTAATTTTTTTTTTTTTTTTTGAGACGGAGTCTCGCTGTGTCGCCTAGGCTGG